AAAATCAGAATGTTGGGGGCTGGAGTGCTAGCACAGCGGGTAAGGCATTTGCCTTGCACATGGTCAACCCAGTTCGATTCCCAGCATCCGATATGGTCCTCCGAGCACCGCCATGAGTAATTCCTGAGTGCAAACCCCTGTGCATCACCGGGTATGACCCAAAGAGTCAAAAAATAAAAGAAAAAAGATCTGAAAAAACTACATAGAAGAACCTAGATCAACAGACTGACTACGAGGATGTGAAAGGGTGCTCTAACATCACTGGTCAGCAGAGCAGTGCAAATGAAAACCACAATGGTGCACCACCTCACACTCGCCAGCCTGATCAGGTTAAAATTTAAAAAATCTGGACCAGAGAGATGGTACAAGGGTAAGGCACCTGCCTAGCACGCACTGAGTTGAGGGTTCAGTCCAGGGCACCACACAATCCCCTGAACGCCACCAGGAGTGATTTGTGAGTACAGAGCTAAGAATAAGCCCTGAGCACTGCCAGGTATGGCCCCCAAACAAAACAAAACAAAACCTGGACAATATCAGAACTTGGCAGGATGCAGAGCAACTGGCACTCTCAGACTCTATTAATGTAAGTGTTAAATGACACAACCAGTCTGGGAAAGTCTCAGCAATTGGTCATGAGTCAAAGTCACAGCAATTTATCTTGAGTCACTTACATACTCTATGACTTAGCAATTCTACTCCTATGTATTTCCCAAGAGAAATGAAAACATTTACGTACATGAAAAGACTTGGATCGGACTTTTCACAGAAGCTTTATTCATAATAGCCAAACACTGGAAATAGTTTGGGTATAGAGCAAAAAGATAAATGAATACACAAATACCCATTCAAAAGCAATAAAAAGGACAAACTATTGATGAAAGTAAATACATCTTAAAGCAATCTTTTCATTTTTTATCTTTTTTGGGGGTTGGGGGGAGAGTGCAGAGTTGGGCCATATTCAGAAATGCTCTGGAGTTACTTCTGGTTCTACACTCAGGAATCACTCCTGGTGGTGCTCAGGGGAGACCATATGGGATGAGAAGGACAGAGCCTGGGTCGACCACATGCAAGGTAAGCACCAACCCACTCTGCTGCCTCTCTCCTCTTTTTTAAATCTTAAAACATTTTTTTTTTTGCTGAAAAAGAGTAGTGTTAGAATGAAGCGTATCACACTGAGTGAAATAAGTCAGAATAAGAGGGACAGATATAGAATGACTGCATTCATTTGTGATTATCCACAGCCAGGGAAAACAGGGACAAGGTTGGAATCAACCACAAATGTGTGTGGGGTGGAGGGTCACTGTCACTGTCCCCCCATTGTTCATCGATTTGCTCAAGCAGGCACCAGTAACGTCTCCACTGTGAGACTTGTTACTGTTTTTGGCATATCAAATACGCCACAGGTAGCTTTGCCAGGCTTTGCTGTGCGGGCAGGATACTCTCAGCTTGCCAGGCTCTCCAAGAGGGGTGGAGAAATCAAACCCGGGTCAGCCACATGCAAGGTAAGATAAAAGGAATAGTCTGACAATAATCGCTGGAAATGATCACGCTGGACAAGAACTGAGTGCTAAAAGTAGGTAAAGGGATATTCCATAGAGGCAGGCTGGGAGGTTGGGGGGTGGGTAATTGCAGGGAAACTGGGGACACTGGTGGTGGGAAATGTACATTGTTGGAGACATGGGTATTGGAATACTGTATGACTGAAACCTAATCATGAACAGCTTATTAAGAGTCTATCTCACAGTGATTCAATAAAAAGAGTTTTTTTTAATGTAATGTCAGAAGAGATGGCTAAGCAACATGAGGGTGAGGGTCAGAATTAAGACCTTAGAAGAATGAGTCCTTCATGTCTTAACTGAGCAAATGTATTTCGACAATCTGCTATGTGCAGGTTCTGTGAATACAAAGTGAACATTTTTTTAAAAAGTGATAAATATTAAAATACCTAAATCAATAATTTTTAAATTTAAAAAAAAATTATTGGCTCTAGAGAGACGCTCAGCTGCTGGCTGGTGTGCAGACTTCAGAGGCAGGAGGTCAAAGGCCAATCCCTACCATCACATGGTGCCCCGAGCACAGAGCCAAGAATAACCCCTGGCATCCTGAGCAGCACCAGTTATGGGACAAATTTTTTTTTAATATTTTTTTCAATCATCAGGACTGGAGATGTAACTCAGTAACTGAGCACTTGTTTGGCATGTGTGAGGCCCTGGGTTTGATTCCTGGGACCACAAAGACACAGAGAGAGAGAGACAGAGACAGAGACAGAGACAGACAGACAGACAGACAGACAGAGATCCTACTGATTGCCTTACATGCTGCTGTATGAGAAACAGTGGGCTGCGAGGTGCCTCTATCATTGGGGTCTTGTTGAAACGCTGCTGCCTTCTAGGGTTAGGTGTGATACCTAAAACTTACTAAAACGCACCTCTCAAGAGATTTTTTTTCATCATAAAACACTGGAAAATGATATAGACTACATGACATGTGCAAACATTCTTTAGGAAGGCCCTCAGGAGAGGAGTTGATTAAATGAAGTGAGTTTTCCCTCAAAGCAGCAAGTCAGGCAGGCCAGTCAGCAGAGTGCCTAGAGAGGCCACCTAGCAGACAGCAGGTTTCAACGAGACCCCAATGACAGTCGCACCTCGAAGTCCACTGTTTCTCATACAGCAGTATGTAAGGTAAACAGCAGGGTCTTAATGACTTAACAGTTCATGATACTCCCGGTGAAGAGGTAAGGAAATTAGTCTCAGGATAAAAGGGGGATTGGGGTCAGGGGGGGTCTTTACAAAATTAAGAAATTACGTTTTTGGGGGTCTGTGTGATAGTACAGTGGGTAGGGCATTTGCCTTGCATACGGTCAACCTGGGTTCGATTCCCAGCATCCCATATAGTCCCCCGAGCACCACCAGGAGTAATTCCTGAGTGCAGAGCCAGGAGTAATCCCTGAGCATCGCTGGATGTGACGCAAGAAAAAAAAGAAAAACAAAAGAAATTATGTTTTACCAAAAGCTCTACTACACTGGCCATATTATTTCTCAATTCACCAGACATTCACCAAAATGCCAGGGTGAAGGATTTAGCAGCCCTAAAGAAAGATTCCTGGTCCCCAAGAAGCTGAATCGTAATAATCTTGATTTGGCCACTAGGAAAATGGTAAGCCCTTAACTAAGAGTCTCTCTGTTTCACTCTGATGAAGAGCCCATTAAAATTTGATCTATTCTAAGGATACAGAATACAGGATGATTGAGACAACATCCTTTAAAGACAAAGGCGGGGAGGGGGGGGCATAGCGATAGTACAACAGGTAAGGCATTTGCCTCGTATATGGCCAACCTGGGTTCAATCCCTGGCACCCCATATGGTTCCCTGAGCCCATGAGGCGCAGACCTAAGAGTAAGCCCTGAGTACTGCCCGTGTGGCACCAGAAACAAAAAACACAAAGGGACAAAGACAGCATTTGCCCAGACAGGTAAATTATAAAGCGTTCCATGTGGATATCCCATTTCACATCCAAGTTCAGGAACGCGCACCTGTTTTGAGAGAGAAAACTGGGGAGGGCGGGGCGGAACCCAGTCTGCCATTAACCAGCAGACGCGAGATTGTGCAAGTCCCTTGGAGTTTCTGGATCAGTCTGCGGGAACACTCTGCCCAGATGCGCTCTCATCTATTGCAACCTCCTCAAAGACGCCCTGGAAGACGTTACACCCCTGGGCACCAGCCAGGAATGCCTCCTCCCCCACCCCTGGGCTGGAATCCGCTTCAGATTTAGCCCTCGTTCTGTGCCACGTGCCTGTCAAGTCTAGCAGGTCACCTCCCTCGACATTTTACAGATGACCAATATTAGCACCCTCCTCCAACTGACAGTTTTGTCTCCTAGACTTTGGGCTTCTCAAGGGCACAGGACTGGCCACCTGTTAATCTGTCCACCTTTGTAGAGAGTATTGCTGGCCACTGAGCAGTCACTGATCCCCACGGTCTCTTCTTCCTCTAACATGCTTAAAAAAAAAAAAACAAGTATGAAACTAATATCCAAGGCCAGGGAAAATGGGCCAGAAGGACTGATCAGTGGTTGGAATTACCACAAGGGTGTAAGGGATGGAGGGTATTTAAGATAGAAGAAGGTCTATTATGACAATATCATGGCAATGATCACTCTGGACAAGAACTGAGTGTTGAAAGTAGGGAAAGGGATATACATGATAGCCTTTTGGCCTCTGTATTGCAAACCATGCTGCCTAAAATGAGAGTGAAGGAGAGAAAGAGAGAAGAGAAGTGCCTGCCATCCAGGCAAGCGGCGGTGGGAGGGTGGTTTGAAGGGGTAGGAGGGAAACTGGGGACAGTGGTGCTGAGAAATTACACTGGGGAAGGGATGGGTGTTGGAACACTACTCGACAGACACCTCATCAAGAACTGCTCTGTAATGCTCTATCTCACGATGATTCAATAAAATAAATGAATAAAATGCTTTTTAAGTGCAGGTGAAAGGATGGTTCTTTAATCCTTTACTGCTGTCCCTAAGGAAGCACCCAGTCACAGCAGCAACGTGCGCTGGGGACATCGAGCTGATCAAACAAACGGCCCAGGACACCCCCAAAGAGGAAGGCTTGCAGCTAACGAGCTAGAGCAAGGTCAAACAAAGCCTGAGCCTGTTCCCACTTCCCTCCATACTTCCTTTCTCGCAGCGGCCCCTTTCTCCCAGGCCCTGCGTTCCACCCGCTGCCGTCCACGACCTCTGTCCCAGCTGGCAAAACTGCAAAGAATGGGAGCCAAACAGCCGCGCGCTGACGCCCACAAGCCCTGCACGCCCAGAACCTTCGAGTCTCCTCGCCTTGCGAAATGCAATGGTGCATGGCGTCCAAAGCAAGCCCCCGAGTCCACCTCCAGCGACCCCTCCCAGCCCCCAGCCCCCAGGCACATTGGTACACCCTCCCCGGAAGTGAGGCCGTTATTCGCCGACTCCCCAGCTTTCTGCACGGCGGGAACAAGGCCGAGCGTACCTGCTGCGCCCGCTGGTCCTTCCAGAGCTTCATCTGGTCGCTGGCAGGGTCCCGGTTGTCCGCCATGGTGTCCGCTCGGCGTTGCAGGACGTTGCAGGAGAGCTCCGCTCCCGAGTCTCCACCTCAATAGGCGGATTTGCGTCCCAGCCCGGAGGCTTGAAATAGGCGACTTCGGACTCGGCCCGTCGGCTCCGCCCCCGACACGCCCCCTGCTCCTGATTGGTCGCCTTGTGTGAGCTCGGCAGCTTAGTGGAGGCGGGAGTAGAGGGGCGGGGCGCGGGGCTCGGGGATTGGGAGACGGGAAAGCAATGGGAGTCCCGCCCCTCGAGTCGCGTCCGAGTTGATGAAAGGTCCCAAAGCAAGACTCCGCCTACAGGGGGGGAGGTGAGTGGGCTTGACTCTGGGCCTCCGTTATCTGCCACCACCCCAGGCTGCCCTTGGGAGATGTGACTTCTGGCTGGTTCGTTTTGCTAAAGGAATGTCTGCAGAGTTGGGACTTTGGACTCTGCCAGTACGCGCTCAGCTCTGCAGAAATTAGAAATCTGGGGTCCAATAAAGTTCCCTGATAACCATACTTAAGCAAGTGAACAACAGATGAAATTCCAAATAAATTCTTACACGGATTTGGCAGTTAAATATAACCAGTAATCTTACGCTCAAAAAAAAAAAAAAAGCTCAGTGACTTTTTCTTTTTAATCTCATGAGGCATTCTCTACAGAAAATCGTGCCTTTGCTTTACAACGCAGGACGATGAAAAAAAATCTTTAATAGTCTAAAATTCATAGGAAGAAAAGTTCCAACTCTTTTGTTTAGGCTTACCTCAATTTCAGTATCTAAATATCTGGCAGTGCATGCTAGATACTGCCCCGAAGTTATTTATTCGTGTCATTTTAGCCTTGACAACAATCTCACAATGAAGGTGGTTTCATAACACCGCATTTTAAATGTGGAGAAGCTGAAGACAGGCAGAGGGAGCTGGCAAAAACTTAAATGCTAATCAGGGAGCCCAGATCCTTAACCTACTGATTTTGAGTTAGCCCTTAGCCTACTGAATCCCTACTATATTATCCTGCATAATTATTAGATATCTGAGAAGATACCTTACAGGTCAACATATTTTATGATTCAGAGCACCTGCTACCACCTTGGGGGAACGTTTTATTACCAAGAATTAGGTAAAGCAGTTATTCTTTTCTCTGACCTTTGCTTTAACCCTCAATCTCCCCCAGAGAATGAAGGACCTTGGAATTGAGTGGAGGCCAAGCATAGCTTAGAATCAGGAGAACTTACATGCCTCTGTGTGGAAAGAGCAGTGTTATGTACCAAAATATCCCTTGCCGAGTATATATTTCACCCTGAACTCTCCAGGTTCCCAAATCTCATTCCCCATGTCTATTGCTTGCTCCATCTCTTCCTGAGTCCCACATCACTGCACTTCCTTTAGATGCCATTGCTAGTCTTTCCTGTTCCTTCATTTTCCTAAAACAAGAGCACAATTTCTCTTGTCTACCTCTATTTCCATTATTGAATGTAGGGGAGGGTAGAATATGGTGCTTATGCACCTTTACTTTCTACCCTGCTTCAGATATGTAAACTTGGGCAAATTAATTAGCCTCTCTGTGTTTAGCGAACATCCGAACTGGCAAAACAGTGCAGAGAAGCCATCAAGGATGACCTCAAAAACAGGAGAGAAGCAGTACTGGTAGATGCAGCAGAAGCTGGGAAAAACATTCGTAATGCCTGCCTGTCCTTCACCAACTACAAAACCAAGATGACTGCCCTCCGACATCATGATGGATCTATCACATCTTCCAGAAGGGCAATGGAGAAGATTATTCATGACTTCTACTCAGATCTCTTTAATAGTCACATCCACTTGCCCACATACCACATACCACATGATGGATATGTCGTTCCCAATGTTCTCCCTTCCGAAATCCAACATGCCATCTCGTCAGTAAAGAAACAAAGAGCACCTGGCCCAGACAAGATCAGACCTGAACACCTGAAGAACTTACCATCAGTACTCATCAATACATTGGCTCGACTCTTCACACGCTACCTGTCTGAATGCAAGGTTCCATCCCAATGGAAAACCAGCAAGACTGTACTACTATACAAGAAAGGAGACATCCACGACATTGGCAACTATCGCCCAATCTGCCTATTGTCTGTCATCTACAAACTATTCACTCGAGTCATCCTGAATAGGATTAGCAGAACACTAGATGAAGGACAACCATGTGAACAAGCTGGATTCCGAAAAGGATTCAGTACCATCGACCATATCCACACAATAACCAAGCTCATTGAGGTATCTCGGGAGTTCAAGATGCCACTCTGTCTAACGTTCATTGATTTAAAGAAGGCCTTTGATTCTGTTGAGACGGAAGCGGTCATGGAAGCCCTAGCCAATCAGGGCGTACAAACTCAATACATCAGGATCCTTCGTGAGCTCTATTGTGGATTCACTACCAAGATCTCACCATTCTACAAAGAAGTAATCATCCATATCAAGAGAGGGGTTCAGCAGGGTGATACCATTTCACCAAAACTCTTCAGTGCCACCCTCGAGAACATCATGCGACGACTGGAATGGGAAAACATGGGAGTGAAGATAGATGGTCAGCAACTACACCTCCTCCGCTTTGCTGATGACATCGTTCTAATAACACCAAACATCAACCAAGCGGCACAAATGCTGAATGACTTTGACAGTGAATGTGGAAAGGTCGGACTACAGCTGAATCTTACGAAGACAATGTTTATGAGAAACAGCCTTGTTCCTGACGCTCCATTCACTCTCAACGGAACCACCATCTCCGAATGCAACAGTTATATATACCTAGGTCGAGAAATCAACATGATGAATGACCTGGCACCTGAATTGCGCAGGAGGAAGAGAGCGGCTTGGAATGCCTTCAAGAGCATTGAAGAAATAACTAAAAGGACAAAAAACCTCCAGCTATGAGCACATCTCTTTGATTCCACTATTCTTCCTGCATTAACATATGCCTCAGAGACCTGGACCCTACGAAAACAGGATGAGAACACTATTCGGGTCTCTCAAAGAGGAATCGAAAGAACTATGCTTGGAATATCACAATTCACTCAAATGAGAGATAGAATCCGGAGTTCTGATCTTCGTCAACGCTCAAGAATCAGGGACGCTGTCTCATTTGCCAAGACATCAAAAATCAGATGGGCTGGACACGTAATGAGGTTTACAGACAACCGCTGGACTAGAGCCATTACTGATTGGATTCCACGAGACATCAAAAGATCACGTGGACGCCCACCTATAAGATGGTCAGACTTCTTCGTCAAGACCCTAAATGATCGGTTTGAGGCTCTACATGTTCCTAAAACGAACAGATACCATTGGGCTACGCTAGCACGCAACCGGGATGAATGGAGACGTTACTGGCACCCGCTCGAATAAATCGATGAATAACGGGGATTAAGTGAAGTGATTAAGTGTTTAGGGTTGGGTTTTATACCCTGTATCATGGAATATTAATGGGGATACATACAGCTTTAAACTCTGGCGAATGAAAACTTTCATTGTACCTAATCTGCAACCTGCCACAGTGCTTCCCACCTATTCCTCTTCTCTCCCTTTCAACCTCTTCTCATCTCATAGCCTCCTATTCTTCTACAGAGTCTCCCTCAAACTTTTTCTGAGAAATCTGTGAAACCCCAAATCCTGTGAAGAAACTTTATTCTTAATTTTTTTTTACAATTTTTTGCATTTAAACTTTTATTGAAGTCTATGTAGTGGTAAGAATAACTTGTGCTTTATGTTCATTATATTACATTCTCGACATTCAATTAAAAATAAATTAAATATATTAATTAAATTAAATTAAAATAAATTAAATAAATTAATAAATTAAAATCATTCATTGAGAATGATTTTCACAATGCATTCATCAAAACAGCCTTAAATATTGTCAAAAGTGTGTTTAAACACCCATTTATTTTGAACAGGTTTTTAATTAAGTTCTTTTTTTATTTTTTTATTAATTTTTTATTTTTTTATTAGTGAAACACCATGAGGTATAGTTAGAGACTTATAAATTTTTGTGCTTGGGTTTCAGTTATACAATGATCAAGTACCCATCCCTCCACCAGTGCCCATCCTCCACCACCACGGGTCCCAGCATCCCTCACACCCCCCACTCCCCCCCCATCCCACCCTGCCTCTGTGGCAGGGCATTCCCCCTTGTTCTCTCTCTCTTCTTTTGGGTACTGTGTTTTGCAAGAAAGGCGTTGAGTGGCAATCATGTTTGGTCTATAGTCTACTTTCAGCATGCTTCTCCCACCCTGGGAGGATCCTCACAACACCCTTTATTTGGTGCTCTCTTCTCTATCTGAGCTTCCTTTTCCCCTAGCACGTGTGGCTAGCCTCCAAGTCATGGAGCAAAATCCCTGGTACTAATCTCAGCCATTTCTGGGTGTTAGTCTCCCATTTTGTTGCTTTATGTTCCCCAGATGAATGCAATCTTTCTGTGTCTATCCCGCTCTTTCTGACTCATTTCGCTTAACATGATACTTTCCATGTAGTACCACTTGTATGTAAATTTCATAACTTCATCTTTTCTAACAGCTACATAGTACTCCATTGTGTAAATGTACCAAAGTTTCTTTAACCAGTCATCTGTTCTCGGGCACTCAGGTTTTTTCCAGATTCTGGGTATTGTAAAGAGTGCTGCAATTGCAGATGTCAAACAAACAATTGCAGATGTCACTTCGACTATACTTTTTTCCTCTCTGGGATATATTCCCAGGAGTGGTATTGCTGGGTCAAATGGGAGATCAAATTCTAATTTTTTGAGAATCATCCATACTGTTTTCCAAAAGGTTTGGACCAGCCGGCATTCCCACCAGCAGTGGAAGAGGGTCCCTTTCTCACCACATCCGCGCCAGCACCGGTTGCTTTTGTTCTTGTGGATGTGGGCCAGTCTCTGTGGTGTGAAATGATATCTCATTGTTGTTTTGACCTGCATCTCTCTGATGATTAGTGATGTAGAGCATTTTCTCATGTGCCTTTTTGCCATTCGGATTTCTTCTTTGAGAAAGTTTCTGTTCATTTCCTCGCCCCATTTTTTGATGGGGTTGGGTGATTTCTTCTTGTGGAGTTCAACCAATA